CGCCGCCGGCGGCCGGGTGGTGGAGAGCCAGTGGGAGATCAACAACGCCGCCTGCCAGCCGGAGGAGGAGGAGGAAGAGGAGGCGGTAGGGGCGCGGGAATGGCCGACGGAGGAGCCCGACCTGGTGATTGAGGTGTCGGGGCATCGCATCCGGGTGCACAAGTCGGTGCTGGCAGCCAAGAGTGACTACTTCCGTGCCCGTGCCTCACGGGACGTCCTGCGGGTGAAGGGGGTGAGCTACGGGGCGCTGCGGCTTCTCATCGACTACGTGTACACGGCCCGCATGGGCGAGGTGCGGCACGACAACCTGGCTGAGGTGGTGAGCGGCGCCCGCGTCCTCCAGATGCCTTGCGCCCTGCACTGTGCCGCCGAGGCCATGCGCGCCCAGCTCCGCCTTGACAACTGCTACCAGCTCCTCTGCCTGGCCAAGAAGCGGCGGCTAGCGGAGCTGCGGGAGGCTGCCTACCGTTTCATGAGCGACCACTACCTGGAGGTGTTGCGGGAGCCTGGCGTCTATGGCCGCCTCAGTGGCACTGAGCGGGACCTCATCCTGCAGCGGCGCATGGAGGCCGGCCGGCTCTGCTTGCTGGTGGCCGAGGTCAGCGATGCCTTCGAGAGGCCGGGTGGTGGCAGCCGGCCACACAGCCGTGAGAGCAGCCGCCCACAGAGCCCCTCCTCCGTGGTGTCACTGGAGGAGAGTGGCTCCCTCATCCACTGCTACCATGAGGCCAGTGGTGAGTGGAGGGTGCTGACGCGCCTGCCCGAGGAGGCCAACGCCAAGGGCTGCGCCATGTGTGTCCTCCACAACTACCTCTTCCTGGCAGGGGGCATCGCGGCGGGGCCAGCGGGCAGTGAGCCCCGGGCCCGCCTCTCCGACAAGGTCTTCTGCTACAACCCCCTCACCGACACCTGGAGCCAGGTGCGGCCGCTGGCTCAGCCCCGCTCGCAGCTCAAGCTGCTGGCCCTGGACGGTTACCTCTATGCCGTGGGGGGCGAGTGCCTCTTCACCGTGGAGAGGTACGACCCACGGGCTGACCGCTGGAGCCCTGTGGCACCCCTGCCGAAGGGTGCCTTCGCTGTGGCTCATGAGGCCACCACCTGCAACGGGGAGATCTATGTGTCGGGGGGCTCCCTCTTCTACCGCCTGCTCAAGTATGACCCCAAGCGTGACGAGTGGCAGGAGTGCCCTTACAACAGCAGCCGCCGGCGCTCTGCTGACATGGTGGCCTTCAAGAGCTTCATCTACCGCTTTGATGTGAGCAGTGGCCGTGGTGGGGAGCAGGGCCCAGGTGGCGGGACTGGCGGTGGTGTCGAAGTTTTCCGGTACAACACGGTGGCCAAGCGCTGGAGCCAGTGCGCCAGCCTGCGGCCCAGCGGCGGCCCCATCCAGCCCTTCCGCTGCGCCCCCTTGGGCAACACCATCTACTGCGTCAACCGGACTGGCACCCTCCGCTTCAGCCTAGCCCAGGACGGCGAGGTGGAAGCAGATGGCGGGCTCAAGGGCACCTTCGACAGGGAGCTTCTTAAAGCTCCCTTGGATGCCAAGGGTGTCCTCCTACCCTTCGTGCTCACCCTGCCCGAGAGGCTGGACAAAGCGGGGGATCAGGAGGGCTCCCTCCCGCTGTGAGGTGGCCAGCCTGGCTCTGGCTTCCCGAGTGGGGAGCTGGGTTGCAGCTGTGGGGGACCCACAAACTTCCTCCTACAGAGGGGACTCTCTCTGGCGTGTCTGCAGAGAGAAGGGGCTCCCCCTTTCCTCCTCTCCGCCCCCAAGATGTTGAGCTGGAGCCACTTGGTTGTAACTCAGTTGTAACTCTTCTCATGTTTGCTGTGCTTTGTGTGAAAAGCCGAGCACGTGAAAGGAAAAGCTGCTATAAAGGATAATCTCTGGATTATGTTTGTGCCAATTCCTAATCTGAGAAAAACCTTTTTACACCTGGATTTCTAAAAAATTCCTGACAACAGTGTCATAATGGGACGTTACTGTTAAGTGTTGGTCACGTGTTTACACGTAGTTGCAATCTGGGCTGGAGCCTTTTCTGCCATTTGTTTTCTTTCTCTCTGCGATGTTACCGAGGGATAAACACTGCTGGCAATGTAGCTTAGCTGCATTTGTTTTTATGTTAAACCAACTATTTCCTGTGTTAGAAAAGTATAGGAAGAATGTCTCCATCACAGCCTTTCATTTCTGGTGCAATACATGGTTTAAAGAAGACATGGCACTGTGTGGTCCCGGAATTTCAACCACAATGAATGATTTAACAGATACCAGACTTAAAGTTTTAAGCAACACAAATGTGTGCCACATGGTCGTATTTGGAATAAAAAAAAAAAAAGGCAAGTTACTTTTTTAAAGTGTGGCATATTATAGCAGATATGAAATGTTATGTTCTTTACCTGAAAAAAGCAATGGTTTCTGTATAAAAAGACATCATTTTATTACCTTTTTAATCAGAGATTTTAAATTATGACAAAAATGAACTGAAGCTGTTCAGACTGCAACCAATTGACATGACCATGTATGCCACTAGAGTTGGGGAAATATTTTGTACTTCAGCTGCTCCTTAATTAACTGCAGGTCAAAGAAAATTAACCTAAACCAAATGTAAATTCTTTGAAACTGACTGCAGACAGCTTAAATGTTTCGCTGTATGTTCAGTATCCTGTGGCAAGAGGCTTTTCCAACTTAGTGCAAGACCATCAAAGGAGGATGTGGAAAATAGGAATGTGCTACACATGTTGATTATATTGTGCACTAGCATGATGTGATTTCCCTATCTTTTGATTGAGAGACTGCTTTATTTATGTCAATCTAACGATTGCTGTAATCAATAAGTCCTTGTTAATTGCAGTACATGCTGATGGCGTATGTTGTCATTGGGATTCTGAACCACCCGAGAGCGCTGTTTGTGGAGCAGCATCCTAACGAGATGAAACCATACAAAGCTTCTTCCTGCCTGTGGAAAGTTGGAGCATACTTTTTGTCACGTTACTCAGAACTGGAAAAGTGTAAACCGTCTACGTGGACAGACTATACTGAAAAGGGCACATACATTTATTTTATACATTTTATATTAAAAAATCAATAGGCAAGGCAAATGTTTTAGCTTTACAGTAAATCACTGAGAAACCTTTTCTGAAAAACAGAACCAGTGTTTTTGCTATTGGTAATTCAGCCTGGAACTGGCATGGACTGTGGAAGGGAATTGTTTATACTCAAAGCTCTAGTATAGATTCATATTTTAGAAAGACATAGGGACCTTACATCAAAGAAAGCAGATCTTTTTATGTTTTATTAAGATGTTTCTGTTAAACAGGACATTAGCATTCTTATACGCTATTGGTAGTTCCAAAGGAAGGCAGCAGGCTCTGTCCTAAGAGACACCATCTTCACAAAAGAGAATAGTGAAGTTTATAGATATTTCTTTCCTTCACTTTCATGTTTTTTTTTTACCTTTTCTCCATCTATCTTGCACAGGGTTTTAACACAGCTGATCTGATTAGCCATCCTATAGAAAACAGTGGTTCAGTCCTAAAAGTTCTTAGCCAAGCGAGCCTATTCCCTAGTGAGCTAATTAAAGCATCACCCAGGTAGGAGCTGTAGGCTTGCAGAGTGTGACACCTATCTTAGCCTCAGTACAGGTTGGTGCAGTGGAATTCAATACCACAGATGGCATATTCGTTAGCGATTCACAAAGAAATTGATTTTTTTCACTGAATGATGGACTTAGTTCTCAGACAAGAATCCTTGGAAACGTTGACTCTAAATTAAATTACAGCATTGTAGCTTGGGCAGGAGAGAAGAATGATGTGTTTGCCTTCAACATAATTTTTATGTTAACTGTAGAAAGTATGTCAAGCTGTGTAGTGAAACACTTAGGTGCATACTTAAAATAAAGACCTAAGTGCTAGGCCAGGTTTTGAATTAGTAGAGTCACCAGGAACACACAAGGAAATGTCTGTTTTATCTTACAATACAGTACGATTTCATAGTTCAAAATATTACGTAGTATAGCTCTTATGCTACAACATAGTGAGGAATCAAGCCAGCTTTTGCATTCCTATTAATCAAGCATTTTCATTCCTGCTAATGCATGAAAATGCTTCTAAATGAGTTTTGGGAAGTCTCTGTGATTTAAGCTGCGAAAATATGCCACAGACTTTTGGGAAAGAATGAAACAGATTCTTTCTTCCAATATTTGTTGCTGTACACCATGAAGAAATATATTTGGACATACTCTTTACAGTAATAAGCATTCTACGAACCTGCAGTGGTTTGTATTTTTGCTAGCTCCTAGTGTTAGAAAAGGTTGAATCGAGTGCTTACGCGCTTTCAGTGTTTACACAGTGTGAATGAGGGCAGAGTCTGGTCTTCATTAGTAGCTGTCCATCAAGCCTGTTTCCTTTGTACACTCTTTGCATAATCACAGCCTGATGATTGACAACAGAGGCATGTTTCTAGCCAGATTTCCTACTCTGTGGCCTCTGTTTCCTCCCTGGAAGCCTGAGGCAGGTTCGCTGAGAGTTGTTTTTTCCCCCAGTTATATCTCAGCATATCCAAAAAAACCCCACCAAATTTGGGTACTAAACCCAGAATTTAGGTGGACTTCAGGCATTTGAGGACCAAAATTGTCATCCCAGAACTCTCCAGTGTAGCTTAAACTGAGCAATCACTGTCCCTTTGACATGCGGAGGTGCTGAGCAGGTCCCCTCCACCTGTTCAGAACTGCTCACCTCTGAGCAGATACGCACCTACCTAGCTACTGCCTCAACTCCTCTGAAACGAGATGATGCGATACCCAGAAGCCACTGGTGTAATATGGTTTTATGGTACAAACCAAAGGACCAGGCCACCCTCGAATTGTGTTTGCATATGTTTTGCTTTTAAAACAGCTATTTTATCTAATGGGGGAAGGCTACTGTGTTTGCATGGGAACATGGAAGTACGTGTTCGCTTTCTTAGCCTGCGAGGATTCAAGCCACATCTCTGACCGCCCGATTGGGAATGGATTGAAGGACCTCTTGGAGCTAATCCCTGATCTCTAAATATTTATGCATTTTGTATTATACATTAATTGGCTAAAAATCTCAGAAATGATCCAGGTAGGTGAATTCAAACCTTCATCCTCACTGAGTGATCTGAGACTAGCTGGAGAGAGAGTCCTCTCTGCTGTCTGTCTTCTCCATGAATCTCACAGTCCCCTTCTCCCACTTTTAATAGGACGTGCAGGAGATAATTTTTCTGCTTCCTCCTCCCTAGAGTACTCCTGTTTTCAAGGTCTAAAGGCTAAAGGACGTAGGCTTGAATTCCCTTAAGCTGAGAAAGGACTGAACTCGGGCCTCCCGCTTCATGTGTGTTTTCTCAAATCGAGATGACTATTTAGAAGAAGAGTATCGGGACCACCTCCTACGGCTCTTTTTCAGGGATGAACCTCATGCAAATCCTCCAAAAGCACACACAGGCTCCTGCACCTCGAGTTCTGGGTAGATTCCAGGCTCCAGCTCCTGGATGGGTAATTCAGGACACATTTAGTACATGTTCGTGCAATTGGACAAGTCGTCTTCTGTGGGAAGCTTTTCCAGACAGGCTCTGTATTTTGGGTTGCCAGTCTGAGGTGAGGGACTTCGTGCACTGTACTGGGAGGCCAAGCAGGTCATTTGGATTCTTCTCAGGGGTGATGCCTTGGTAAAGAGGTGTTGCAGTGCCTAACATGGAAATGCCGAAAGCCTTCACTGCATCTAAAACTAAATCCCTGCTTCAAAAAAGAAACAAGCCTTCTTAGCAAATGCTAATAACAGATGGAACTTTACTATTTCCATCTATTAACTGGTTCCGTAAAAAGAAATCTTAATTGCAGCAAAGGCATTTGTACAAATTCTGTTTACACTTGGAAACTAAGTCAAAGGAATAATTGGCAAAAGAATAACTCTATTTGATCAAAACAGGCACTGTTAAGCAACATGGGAAGGATGCTAATCATACCCTATTAATGAATAAAATTGTGCAGTAGCTGATGTAAATTCTGTCCACAAAAGAATTTCTTTGTAAATACGTACCTGGTAAAATTTAAAGTGATAAAAGAATAAATTATTCACATGAAAGCTGTAACTCTCCTGTGCTGTTTGATTGGCTCTCAGAGTGTTGTATCCTGATTATCGCTATTCACGAGTGGCCTATTGCTTTTCCTGCTTCACGGTATCCATTCCATTGACTGCTCCGTAGATGTGTTACCCTTCATTATCACAAAGCTTAACAGTGGTACTGGGGTGATTTGCTTTGTGTCTGGACTGACGTGTAGTGCTTTCTACTTGAACGAACCCAGAAGATTTAGACAGAATTGTATCTTTGGGCTTATTTTTGAGTGGCACTGCTCCTGGGAAACTGGAGAAAGCACAAGAAGGGGAAATGGCGGTAGTGTTGAGCAGTTGTAGTAACAAGCATTTAATGACTTTCTTTTGTTGTCTGCCATTATTCCGCGCACCAGAGTAGCATTGGATTTAACAGAACATCTCTGTGTAGCTATTACAGTATGAGCCTGAGTACTATTGTAGCAAAGTATGGCTTTATTTAAGTATATTTACTGCCTCAACTCCTACTCTGAGATAATTTAATGCAAGTTTGTAATAGTTCCACACATTTAGTAGATTACTGGAACTATTATGACTTTACATTACTGCTACTAAAAGCAGAGATTGACACACAAGCTCAGTAAAATTGTGCACTCAGAATATATAATCACACACTTTTCATTTGTTTTGGCCTACTGAATGCTGAGAGCTGCTGGAATGAACCCATCGGTATTAGGAATCAGCAGGCTATTTTGGAGGCTCTCTTACTCATAAATTACTCAATGGGAAGAAATGGGAGTGTGGGGCAGAGGGATAGGAGGGAAGAGAAGAATTAAGAGTCAAAAATACCTACTGTATGTCCAGTTGAAACGAACAAATAGCGGGGAAGGGAAACCAGAGTTGGTACTCGAGACAGTGATGACTACAGGGCCAATTTTTTTCAAATATTTCTTAAACAGCCTGAGTTTTTACCAATTATGTTGTTAGTCTTACCATTTTGCACCTGCAATACATCTCAAACAACCACAGTGTTTAAGAAGCTACTTTTTGCAGGAGTTTTGTGCTTTGCTTTTAAGTCTTAGTGGATAAACCTTGGACAAATTTGTGAAGTCATGAAATAACAATGTCAATGCTGCCACTTACAACAAATTAACTAATGCAAATGCTTTAGACACTGTTCACAATTCAGGTGAATTATATGTGTAACTGATGTATTAACAGTTTCATTTTTGAAGTATATATAGGTAAAGCTTTTTATGTACTCCAACTTATGCTGTAATGAAATAAATACATACAAAAAGCTTATGCTCCCCCTTAGGGATTTCTGGGTAATTGGTGTTTTTTCTTTGTCATCCATCCAGTCACTAAACAATATTACATGTGTTCTTATAAAGCAAAGACAAAATTATGTGGATTATCACAAAGATAGAATGTTTAGGAAATGTTTCTAAGGCTAAGCAAAAGGGAGTGAAAAGCTAAGCATTTCACAGTGCCCTGGGTATTGGGAATATGAAATATTCTGCAGTGAAAGCACTTTCCTAAGTGCAGACTAGCATAAGCTCCAGTTCAGTTAATTTTATTTCCTTCTTTTTTTTTTCTTGTCAGTATGTTAAACTACATTATTTATATATAAAAGTTACATGTAGGTTTTCCCAGGATACTCTCCTGTCTTATGTCACACATGTCAGATTTTTGGCTGGAGTAGATTTACAGCAGTGTAAGTAAAAGCAGAATCAAACACAACTGAATTTCGTACTTTGTCTTCTACTTATTTTCTCATCAGATAGATGATTCGCTTGAAATGAAGTCATATAACCTGTTCAAAACCTCCAAGATTCATAGACAGACTAGGTGGGGTTGGACTTCATGTCATTTCCATTATTTCCTTAGCTGCCCCAACACACAAGCTCTACCTATTTCATCTTTCTTACATTTTCTTCAGAACGGCCAAATTCTGCTGCTGGTTAAACCAGGGTAAATCTGGAATAACTCAACCAAACCCCTTAGATTGCCAGAAAACTTGTTCCATTCAGCCCCAGAGTTTTGAGTCTGTTGTAATTTACTAGGGACCTTCATTGGAAAAGAGAAAGACAAGCTCTGATAGAATCAGACTCAAGCAATCACTAACTTGAATGTGTATTTTTCTTAACTTCATTAGAACATAAATTCCTTAACTCTGTCATTTTTGTCTGTGCTGTGAACTAGACATCGGGAAGCTTAGTGCCAATGAAATTTTATCATCTCAAGTATATACTCCTACTTGGTTCATTGAACATTTTGCACCTACATCTGTCGGGATGCTTAGGCCCCAGGCTCAAGCTTCAGGTGTATCCACAGTCTGGTAAATGATGTGGCTGGGTCCAATAACTTGTGCCACGTCACAAGATTAATTTTCCAGTTCTGAAACACTGAAACCACTAGTTGTAGCACAAAGGATTCGGGTTTCAAAGTCCTCTTGATCTGGGTACGGAGGATCCCCTGTTATCATCTGTTTCCAGGTACAACGTGTGTTTTTAGCATCACTTGTGTCCATGTATTGGACTTCAAAAATCACAAAAGATTTCGTATGAAAACATCCAGAGGCAGATGGTGTTGACTTGTATTCCCGTGAAGGCAGAGAAGTCTTGCCGGAAAGACAAATCTGCTTCAGTTCCTAGACTGCGCAGGCAGGGAAGTCACGTATACCTGGGAACTCCCATGTCATGCCGAGTAAGTGTCAAGTGTACAGAACAAGTGTCAACGAACATGAGCTTACAACCTATGGACAGATGTACCCATTGTGGGCGGGGACAAAGGCAATGTAAGTTAGTAACTATTAATACTGGGACCATGCCTAGAAACAAACCCCATCCTGGTTCAGGATTGCGTTGTCTAGGCACCTGTAAACAGAAGAGAAAGCGTTCATAGACTAAAAAACCCCGATGTGGCTAAAAGTAGGTCAGGGGAGTAATAGGCATTTATTACTCGGATGTGGCAGTACCTGCAGGCTTCTTTTTGAAATGAGTGTGAAGAGCACCTGCATCTCATAAATACCACCGGGAGCAACTATTAGTGAGCAAGCTCAGCTGCCGAGGGCAGGGAGCGTGGCCTGACACAACAGTGACACCTGCTTGGCAGGTCGCTCCAGCAGTCAGCAATGACAGAAAGGAGCTGAGTGAGTATCCTCTGAATGACAGCTGTCCTGACGCAATGTCCTCGGGAAGGAGAGGAAAGGATATATGCCTGGCAGTCTTACCGCTGTGCCCTTCATCGCTGTGCTCTCTTAGTGTGCTGGCAGCGCCAGTCCTCGATGAATTCCCCGGTGAGCAGCTTACTCATGGAGAGTTTTGAAGGTGATGTCTTTTTCTCCCCCCCCTTTTCTTTTTTTCCTTTTTCTTTCTTTTTTTTTTTCTTTCTATTTTTCTCCTTTCTCTTTTTTCCTCACTTCATCCTCTCCTTCCCCCCTCTTCCCCCCTCCCCTCTTTCCCTTCTCTTTCTCTCTTTTTTTTTTTTTTGTTCTTTGCAGGTTGCATGTATTTCTCTCTCTGCTTGAATATTCCAACAGGTCATACAGGGGGTCTGTGAATTTGGAAAAATTACCTATTGGAAACCAATGAAACTCCCTTTCCTCAGGAGGCAGACTTTTCTTCCCTAGCCTGCTAATTTTTTCCCTTAATAAAGCCCTAAGTTTCTAGATGAAATGGGAAAGACTTAATCCATCTGCTCCTTGGCAGAATGGTACAATAAACCACAACCTTCCTAAGGAAATGAAGTTGTGAGCAATAAAATTAGTCATGATGCAGACTTAAGGCAAGAGTTCTTCACCTTTTGTTAAGCTTACCTGTGCTTTTAGTCACTGCAGAGTGTGGCTACAAGAAAAAGTAACTGCAGGATTAAAGTATTGACCAGGTAGGAGGTCTCTGAGGAATGAAGCAAGAGCACAAACTGCTGCAGAATTAAGTTAATTCCCACACCACTTAGAAACCATTATCTCAGCGGACAGGGCCTAATTTATTGACAGCTTGCTAGTGCATTACAGCTGAAGGGGTTGTTCAGGGTTTTTTTTTTTTCTCTCGCTGCTGCTTTGCAGTTCTTTGCATATGTGAAAAAACATTGCGGAGTTTGTGAGTAGAAAGTTTGCAGCAAATTTTTACCCATTCTGCATGGGTAAGTGAATCTGTCATCTGCAGTGATGGATTATATGTCTCTCCCATATTTTTCTAATCAAAGAAGATGCTGAACCTTGATTAGAATAAAAGCTGAGATTAATAATATTTTAACTTTAGGGAATGCAAATAAGACAATCCATTTTTGCCATCATTGCCAGCCTCTTTTTAGATCATAATGAAGTTCTGGGCAGGCAGAGAGTCTTCTTAAAGATACGATTTAAGCCATTAGGAAAAATCAAAATCACGCAGGTCCGTGAGAGATATCCTGGACTGGCAGCAGTGCTGTGTGGGATCTTCCATGGGCTACTTAAGAGAAGTTGAACCTCTTCGCTTCGAGTTCTTACTCTAGTTCTGTGCTCCTATGTATCTTTTGAAAGTAAATACTGACTCCAACTTCACAATCAAATTAAATATGTTGTGTGATTTGATAACACCTTGGAGGTGCAGTACTCTATCAGCCCCTCCTAAAACAAAATAAAGTGTCAAAATACTAATGGAAAAACTTGAGAGAATCACCTTAATTCATCAGCAACTTCCTTTGTATCTCCTTGCTAAGCACTACTTCAATTAACCAAATGTTATTTAAATGTAGATTCTGGCTATGTCCAACTCTGGTTTGCCTTTGACAGAGTTGGAGCATAAAGGTATGGTGATAGTGCATACTGATCTATGTAATGTTTGTTTGAAAAGCCTAGTCCAGACAAGTCTCTAATTCAGCTGACTTTGACGCGCTAATGCCATTTAATTCAACCTACTTGCTGTCATTGCTATGACTTTTCAAGCAGGCTGTCACTGTATAGGCATATATCAATATACGTATCACATGCTTTTATCCCGGTCTAGAAAGGGACATCGTGCCTCCAGCCGAGAAGAGGAAGGAGCAGAGGCTGCTCACTTGATACTCCCTGTTGTAAGCAACGACTGGAGAGACACGGGCACCAGAAGTCGTTCCAGCTCCCGCTGCTTTCCTGACCAGACTGCCTGGCTCGGTGCCCGCAGAAAGGAGCGAAGCTGTATATTCCCTCTCCCAAGAGCAAGAGAGGCACAGCGGCTCAGTTGTTACTCATTTGTAGTTCTCTGGGGAGAGTGCAGTTCCAGCCTTCCTCTTACTCAAATTACAAAGTTGCCCTTCGTTCCTGAGAGCCAAGAAAATAGCTCAGCTTACATGTGGTAAAAGAGAACTTGTAAAAGAAGTTATTTTTGAAGGGGCAGTGTAAAAAACAGTATTTGCATTGGCTACTCTTGATGTTGCTACTGTATTTGAAGCAGCTGGAATGTACTGTAGGTTTCCTCATCAGTCCCAGGGCTTCCTGATGCGCAGTTTAAATGCGAAGGGATCCAGGCAATAGGTTCCCTTTTTTTGAGCTTGCCCTGCTCTCTGGGGGCACTAAAAAAGGCAAATGAGCCCAGCCAGTTGAGTGACTGCAGCGGTTCATCTTCCACAGAGCTACGCAGGGACTCCCTGCATTGCTGTGCCATGGCTGATGGGGCAGCAGAGGGGGAGGAGATTGTGGGGAGCGAAAGGAGGCTTGAGCGAAGCATTCTCAGCAAGAAGAAATTGTAGGTGCAGATTACCTGGGAAGTAGTTCCCTGTTAAAGTTTTTCTGACTCCTACATATACTAGCACACGCTCAGTTGGAAAAAAGAAAAAAAGATATATATGAGCGATGACTGAACAACGGAATTACAGTTAGTTTCTGCTCCTCATGCAATAGGAAAGGCAGGCATTAGGAAGACCTAATTTTATTTCTGGTTCTGCCATAAACTTCTGTTTATTACCAGGGAAAAGCTGTTTAAGCATCAGTTTTCTCTGAAGAGAAAAGTGGGTGGGGGGAGGGAGAGAGAGATGATTCGTCACATCAGGTATTGGAAATAAATTCATTTTTTGCATCAGTAAAGCACTATAGGAATATTGGCTTATACTGCAGAGTGCAGTATTTTACTGTTTCATTTTTTTACTGCGTTTGCTCCATGTGAACAGAATATTTTCTTCCCGTGGAGCTGAACAGAATAAAAAAGGTGGAGTGAAACTGTTCCTACTTTGGTCCCTATTTGTGGCCTTTTGCAGCACCCTTTGCCCCTGAAGCCAGGACAAAGGCAGCGGGACTCCTGCCTTTCTGTTGATGCACAAACGTCTGCGGCGGAGGAACCAGGTGAGTTAATAGACAGACATACACAGTTCAGGAATGGTAATACCGCTGCTGTGGCTATTCCTCTACCTTCACCTCTCGCCCATGTATTTTATACTCGCAGAAGGACACGCAGTCTGGAGAGAAGTGCAATGAAAAAGTGGAGATCTTCCTCTCAGACTCTTCTCTGCTCCCTTTACCTGGAATGAAGTTAAGTACTTCACAGTTTGCATATAATGAAGGTTACAAATGTGCAAATTTTAACTTTTTTAACTTTTTAAGATTTTGGAGCTGATTATGTCTTTGTCTTAACTTTAACAGTCAAAAGCACTGAACAGGTCATTAAAGTCCTTTGTGAATTCAAACAGGTGAGACCTCAATTTTTTTTCTCTTTGAGATGAAGTCCTATAAGGGTAAAATCTTGTTACAACATTGAAGTGTTTCTTTTTGTAGACTTCAGAGAATTTAGAATTCTGTCAGTAAAAAAAAAAAAAAAAAAAAAAAAAAAGTGTAATGAAGTTAAATCCTCTAATATTTGGGGGAAAGAAACAACCAAACATATTCCCTGGAAAGGGTTGCACTTTTTTAGATTTCATAGGTTTTGTCAAAGGCCGCAAACCTGGATACATGAAGTCAACAGAACAATGCTGATTTGTGCTTCCCAAAAATTTGCTTGCTGGGTTACTTTTGCCAGTGTCTTTCCATGTGCAGGTGTAAGAATCTGAGGTTTTAAGGATATCTAAAATGCACTAGCCATCCCTGTGTCAAGACCTTTTAAACATTTTCGGTGGTGTAGTTTGCTGAAGAGTCAGTTCTTGCTTCTGCCAGCCAGCTGGTGATTGCCACAGCATCTCTGGTTTAAAATGTCAAAAAAAAGTATGGGGCAACCCTAGCCAGTTCCCCTCGGCAATGCAGCAACTCTGTCTTCGTCCAAACTAGTTAGCAAGGGTGCTTTGCTCCATTTCAAGGGCACAGCTTGCTTACCAGAAGAGCTTCTTCCTGCAGTCCTTCTGCATATAGCTTCCCCGTCCTTTCAAAACCGGAAACTTGGAGAGCTGGAAACTACGCTGGAAATCCTCTACAGATACTGATTTTTAGCAAACTGGGCCAATTGTTACTTCTGGGTGCTCAAGCATCCTGCGTAGCCTCTCGCATTCACCATTGCAAGCTGTTCGGGAGGAGGGAAAACCCAGGGAGAGGTGTTATAGACAGAATCGTTATTATCAGTTTTCCCTTATGTCCACTTGCCAGTTTTCTCCTGGGCTGCTGGCCTACATCTAAATTAAAGCCAAATATATCTAAGCTTAGCTGGGTTCTTTTGATAGTAAAGAAGGCATTTTCCTGCAGGCAGGACGGGGCTGCCGGAGACATGGAGCATAGCCTGTTGATCCAAGCCGGCATTTGTGGATATTACGTACTTTAGGCTGATTATGGTTTCAGCAGAAACCCCACTTGGGAAACCACACAGCGTGCAGGTAATTGGAAACAGAACCTGGCACAAGCATCTTCGAAAGTTTAGCACTGGGCTTTGAATTTGTAAATAGAAAAGGCCTGTGGCTCTGCAGTAAAACGGCGGTTCTCCCAGTAAATTTCATGAAGGAAACAGAGACCTTATTGTTTTCTCTCTCCCCACATAGTTGTCTTTTCCTTTGTTTCTCTCTTTCATCTAAGAAAACTCCAGACAGCTCCTTTAATTAAGGGGCAGTAGACAAAGATTTGTCTGCAGAGCAGTGTTTTTGTTGACACACAAAGCTAAGCCTACAGGCTCTGTATTTCTCCACCTTTTTATTCTATTTCAAAAAGCAAGACACTTTTCATGTGACCTTTTTTTAAGGTTATAATATCCCTTGTTTTAAAGGATACCTTTTTTTTTTTTCTTGTTTTTTTTTCCCCCTCTCGAGTTTGTGTCTAGGCAGACTACATGCACAAGACACTTTTATTTCTGTTATATTCACTAGTGTTTTTATTGGTACAGCACCAACGGTAACAACTTACATAATTATATACAAGAACCATAGATTTCACTTCTATGTCTGTCGTTAAGTAACAGGGATTTCAGTAATTTCCTTAGCCTCTGTGTTGCTTCTCCCTCTTACACTGTTCTTCTCTTTTCTGCTTCTACCCAACTCCTTTTACTGCTATTTTTAAAGTGCCAGATGTGAGCACAGTTGTAAGCAGCTACATTTTCAGAAGAACTTATTTCTAATGTTTTATTTTACAATAGTCACATGGACAGCTTCCCAGCTAAAGAAAGGATAAGTTGATTCACCCTGCAAAATATGACTTTTCAAAATTATCTGTGGCTAAACTCCTACTCACTCAGCATCTCCTAGGTGACAGTGACTGCACGTACTCCAAGATATTTTAAAATAAAATATCCCATGCTTACAATCACTGGTTGAATTATGACGATGATAGCAGGGTTTGGTATCTAGCCCAGAGAGCTCCAAGAAACCGCTGGGATTGTACATACTGTGCTTGCTAACCCAGCTCAGAGATCCACGTGAGACAGAATTTAAAGCACTGGTGGCAGTACTTTAAGTTGGGTTGTCTATCTGACCATTGCAAACATCAGTGGAACTGGATCGGAGAGAGGAAAAAAGAGGGGGAAAATCAGTCAAAAATATCACAGGATAAAGAAACAGTATTTTGAGTCTTTTGATGAATGTTCCTCCAAATGTTAAAAAAATCAAGTTCTTCCAGAAGTACATTACTCATTACAGAAGGAACGAAACTATTGCCTTACTACTAGAAGGTGGCATATAAATCTAAATGAAGCAAGCAATGCTAAAGCAAGAGACAGCCAAGATGTGCACAAACATGTGAACCCGTGGGTTGGCTAACAAATAATGAAGTGATACTGCCAGTGCAGAAGTGCTGGGACAGGCAGGGGGGATAATGATCTCTTGCGGTAGATGAGACATGACTGGAGCATAAGCATGGAGGGAAGATAAGAACTGTGCTCAGACAGAAGGCCTGTTCCCACACCCAGCCTTCAGTTTCCTTCACCAGCATTGCTAACTGCTACTCTACTAACTCCTAGCATAAACAAAGCAGAGGCTTGAGAGTGACGGATGAAAGGTTTACAGCCTGAGTGTTTGAGAGCTCTGCTCAGCTCCTGCTCAAATGCCTCCCCTGGGTCACGTATTTGGTTTGCTGTTACCTATTGCACTTCCTTGAAATCGGTTGTTGCCTCAAAAGAAGGCATACCATTTGTATTTTGTGGTTTCAGATCAGGGTACGGAGGAAAGACTGAAATGCTTACAAAAATGTAAATGATTTGTTTTTCACCATTTTGAAGATTTGAAATAGTTTGTCATTTTGGATGCCTGGGCAAAATAGCATCGAGTGTTATCTGTTGCAGGCTTAATCTAAATTTAAAAACACTGATGGCATAACTTGCAGTCAGATAGAAGTTGTGCAGAAGGAGAGTGTCAAACCTGTCCTGTCTCTACCTCCTCTATCCAAAGTGCTTAAATCCAGAGCTGAAGTGGTTCACCAGATACCCCTGCTGCCACCAGGGTGATCTCTCCAGCAGCCTGCGATGAGCAGGGAGAGGGGCTGGGAGCTGTAGTCTGCTCTTCCACCTGTCTTGTTCCTCTTGGCTTTGTTTAACTGCCTAGAGTGCTGCTCCCATCAGCTCCCACAGCAGCAGCAGCAGCAGCAGGCAGGGGAGGCTGAGGGGAGCAGGCAGGGAGAAGGAGTAGGTTGTAGTAGTAGTAGAGGCATTGGCTGCGGGGGCTTGTTCGGTTGGATGGTAAAAGAGGGACTCATGGCCCTTGTTACAGCTCTACATCCTATTTACAGGATGGAGGAAACCTCTGATGCCAAGCCTAGTGGCTCTCCACGCTGTTTCCACTCTCTGGGCTATATCTGAAGCACATCAGCTTTTGTAGTCATGCCAAAAGTACCCAGTTCTGCAGAAGGCTGCGGTTCCCTGCTCTGTGGATAGCCCCTGACACCCTGAACCCCTCCTAACCACCTCCATCTCTTCCCACCTTTCTTCATGGCAAAGTCAGTGACTCTTATTAAGCACATACTAGATGGTGGTGCCCTTCCTAGCAGAACTCTGATGCTACCTATCCATTTGTCTGAGGGAAATGCAGGTTGGGTTTTAGCTTGGCTGGACTCATGCTTCATATAGAGGCAATGTGCACGTGGTGTGGTGGGTCTCTGAAGCACTGTGGTCTGCATTTGTAAGACAGCTGATTGCAGGAATGGCCTGGTGTAGATGGAGTGAATTAAACTGACAGAAGGTTTTTCTGATTTCGTGATCGATTCTGGCTAGGGAAAAGTTGCAATGCTATAATTAAGAAGACAATGTTTTCTGCCAGGATCAGCTGTGTTTCACGTAAGGAGGCTTTATGGTAGAGCTAACTAGGAAAACAAAACTAGGCATGGGCGAAACCTTAAAGCTTAAGTCATCAAAAGGCTTGGATATGTCAATACTCCAGATTATTTTTAAAAAATCTTGAGTCACTGAACAGCTGACAGGAATGCATGCCCCTTCTCTCCCAGTGACTACTCTCCAAACTAGGCTATGGTGTTATTTCCCTGTTACAGTCCAACAGCTATTTCATTATTCAATGCCATATGTAGCCATTTGCAGAGAAAAGACTGAGAAAGGCATCTAGAAAACCTTCTAGACTGCTGGTTGTATCAAGGGGTTGTGGTGCTAAGAGTTCACATTTCCCTGGGCAGAGAAAAGGGATGAAACTGTTTTTCCCTCATTTACATTAAAGCTCTGACAAGTTGTCTCTGATACACAGGACTAATCTCTCTCCCTGCATTTTGCACAGATCCTGACCCAAAAAGAAGGTTCTGAGAGGTCTGGCTTAATGAGAGCTTGTAAGTGTGATAGGCCTAGTTGATGAACTTGGATGGCACATGGAGATAATGTAAATGTGGAGCTGTATGACAGTGCTGCACTTTTTCAGTTGTGCCCAAGGGAGCATTTAGGTTCTCAGGGCACTTAGACTCAGTCTGCAAAGTGGTGGAGATAAGTGGTTTGAGTGTGCCTGGAAAAAAGGCTGATGCTGATGAATTAGTTTCATAGAATCATAGAATTATTTAGGTTGGAAAAGACCCTTAAGATCATCACAATGATTGGTATGCTTACAGGGGTGGCAGTGAACACAAAACTGGGGTTTGTCCCAAATCTTGTCTCTCTCTGGAACAGAAGTGCTCCAGCTCATTGGGATTTACAGTGCACATTCATCCCTTGTATTAGCTGCATAAAATGACTATTTTCAATGTGAGACTGGCTCCATCCCTTTAAAATCTGTGGCAGTTGTGCTGCCATACCCTTTCTTAACAGTGTTGTCACTAAGACCTCTCCTAGTGCCTTTCGTACTTTAAGAAGTTTAAAACCACACTGTCCTAGACCCTCCAGGCTGAAGGCAGTCTCATCCCCTCTTGTCACGACAGTGCGATGATGCTGAGAGGTACAGGACTCGAGAGACGTGATGC